TTACATTACTGTTCATATCAGTAGCAGATATAGTTATGAAGTAGCTACAAAAATAATATTTTGGTTTGGAATCACCACAATATGAGGAACTGTATTAGAGGGTCGCAACATTAGGAAGGTTGAGAACCACTGCTCTAAGACTTCCTACTCCTCTCCAACCCTGAAAGTTGCCTCCACCCTGAAAGGTGCCTCTTGTGTGAGGGAGCAAGCCTTCAAATCAGGCTTCAATCACTGGCACCTGCTTAAACCTGCTACTCTAAATGATAGGTCATTAGGATTTATTTTAAACCAGTTCAGTTTGGGATTTGGTTGTGTTTTTTCCTTTCTTTTACATGACCAGCAGGAAACAGCCTAAAAGATGATACTTGGCAACAAGTGATGATATATTTATTTTTGCTTAGTTTTATAGTCAAATGATGATCACCTGCTAGCCTTAAGCTTTATGTCATTCTCAAAAGCAATGAGCAATGTAGGTTTCCTCTGGAAAGGATAGTCCCCACAGGTAATGCACATATTTAGATAAAATCCATGTCCTGTTAGTTCCATGTACTAGACTTTCAGAGCATGTCTGTAGTAAACTAAGGAATTCAGTTCCAGCAGTGAAGTAATTACCATGGTTTGGATGCCTTCTTAATAAACTAATCCCCTGAATAGAACTGTCTTATAAAGCATTTATTACTTTAGTAATATCGTTATTAAGATGATAGTGGTAACCAATATATCCTAAGGCCATGATGTTCTACAGAAGTTCATGGAACCAACACACTGTGGGCTGAAGCCTCTGAAACCATGAGCCAAATAAGTAGCCCTCTTCTCCTTACATAGTTAGCTGCTGGAGAAATGCCTAACACAGTCACTCAGACACTTTCAATGGCGTCAAAGCTGTATATAACATGACCTACTTTATGATGACTGCAGTGGAAAGATAAGATTATGCTGTGATGGATGCACAGAAGCACACCCAGCCCAGCCTAGTAATCGGGAGAGTGTTAAGACTTGATTAGTTTCAGAGGTTACTTTTACTATTTGAGGGTATTTATGGTGTGTGTGTGTGGTGTGGGTGTGCGTGTGTGCACTCATGCATGTATGTAGGCGTGCACACATGAATGCATGTGTCCACTGAGGCCAGAGGAGTTGGACCTCCCTGGAGTTGAAATTGAAGTTGTGAGCTGCCTAATGTGGATACATGGAATCCAACTCAGATCCTCTGGAAGCTGTGTGTGCTCTTAATTCCTGGGCCATCTCTCCAACCCTAGGACTTGATTGTTAAAGTGCATTTGCTTGTTGTCATGGAACTGATTGTGTAGCTCACACTGTCTTAAGCTTGTGCAGTTCTCCTTCCTTGGTCTTGAGAGACTGGAATTACAGGCTGGAGAAGGCTTGAGTCTTAAAAGTGTACAGCATCTACACTCATCTAGAGTTCTTTCTACTTGACACTTTCTCATTAAAGTGTGGTATAAAGCAAAGTTGCCTTAGTCGTTTGTGGATTGTGCCATTGTGATGTCACATGCCAGAGGGTGAAAGTAAAGGAGTGAGAACAAGCTAGGTGGCTTGAGCATTGTGCTCTCTGCTTTGCTGTTGGTGTTGTTTTCTGTAATCCTACATTTTATTTGCATGTTAGAAATATCAGTTTGTTACACAGTGTCTACATCAAGTCACTTGAACTGGTCTGCTTCTGTGCGGTACTTTTGGTTTGGTGCTACGTGTATTGTTGCTTGATACTGGCGCAGAGGCAGTGGAGGCTCCAGTTATGTTTCCTTATCTTAGTGCTCCAGAATATCTTAGGATAGACTTACACGACTGTTTCTCCTTTTTCCTGCTGCTGCTGCTTTTTCTTTTTCTTTTATTTATTTATTTATTTATTTTTTGGTTTTTCAAGACAGGGTTTCTCTGTGGCTTTGGAGGCTGTCCTGGAACTAGCTCTTGTAGACCAGGCTGGCCTCGAACTCACAGGGATCCACCTGCCTCTGCCTCCCAAGTGCTGGGATTAAAGGCGTGCGCCACCAACGCCCGGCTGCTTTTTCTTTTTAAATCAGCTTAACATACTATGAGAAGAGGATGTGGTTCTCTTCTCACTCCGTATGGGGTAGGGATCCTAGATTGCATCATTACTGAATACTAATACACAGTCTTGTGTGCTGTGCAGGTGCTTGTGTGTGCAGATACATCTGCATGTACATGTGCATATGTGTGCTTTGGAGGACAGAGGTCCACCTCGGTTGCTGGTCCTCAGGAGATGCCCACCTTGTTTGTTCACTAAGACCTGGGGCTCGGGGTTCACCCGGGCTGGCTGTCCAGAAGCCCGAAGATCCACTTCTTCCTGCTTCATCACAGACCCAGCTTTTTATGTGGGCTTGGGGGGCCAAACTCAGGGTCTCATGTTCAGGCACTTTCCTACTGTTTCCCAGCCTGTAGTATACAGTCTTTATAAATTCCAAATTACATTAAACTCTTTAGGCAGAAGAATGTATTTAAGGGAATATTATTTTCCTACATTTGCCTTTCTGAGATGAATCAAGAGACCCATGTCTTCCTGGGGTGCAGGACAGACGTGGAACATTGCTTAAAGCACCATTGAGTATGGTTAAGAGTCAGTATTGGTGTTAATTGTAAGTTCTTCCTGTAAGCACTCCTGAGGTTTATTTTCATATAAATGAAAATGTTGTGGGGATGACTGGATGCCTTTAGTTGGCTGTTAGACTTTGTTTAGTGCCCTGACTTCCCCCAAGACAGAAAGGAGTACCAGAGAGCCGGCTGGACAACCATGTGCCATGCTGCACACTCCTTGGGCACCTGAGGAAGTTACGCAACAATTGAAGCCACTCGCTGCTGAAGCACAGCTTGGCTTCTAAAGAGGTGGCTCCCGGCATGACTGTTAAAAATATCTTACTGCAGACCTTCCATGCAACCATTTCCTGGCCTGAGAGGGAGCAGTACCCCTGGTGACCTGATAGAAGACTATTCATAAGGGACAGCTGAAGTTGGTAAAAACACAATTGATAATTTACTTGAAGATCTGAAGTGACTGGGGCAAACACCCATTTTCTGTTTCCATACAGCCAGCAAGTTATTATACTTATGTAGTGAACTGACTAAAATGCCTTCTTGTTTTGCCTCTTAACATATTATGTTCAATTAAAAGCATCTGTCCACTCTAGTGTTCTCTCTCTGTCTCTGTCTCTCCCTCCCTCCCTCTGTCTCTCCCTCCCTCCCTCCCTCCCTCCCTCCCTCCCTCCCTCCCTCCCTCCCTCCCTCCCTTTCTCTCTCTCTCTCTCTCTCTTTTTCTCTCTCTCTCTCTCACACACACACACACACACACACACACATACACACACACCATCTGTAGGGTGGACTGAGTTGGTAATGCAAAGAAAGAATGCATGGTGGTGACTAGAAGAGTGGCGAAGTGATAGTGGAATGCTGGCAGCTGAACCGCAGAAGTGATGGCGCTGGGTTGTGGCAGTGGCCGGTCTGCAAACGAGGCAGAGGTCCAGACAGCCACAGGAGAGGCCCGAGCCGCACGGAGAGGCCAGCGGCTGAGCAACAGAAGTGGAGCTCAGCCAGCAAGCAGTCAGTGGCTCTAACAGCCGCAGGACGGGCAGCAGGGCTGAAGTGGAAGCAGGAAGGAAAAGGCAACGGTGGCTGCTGCCCTGGCACAACAGCAGTCATGACCGAGGCCCAGCATCGAGGCCACAGAAGACCTGGGGTAGAGTGGCAGAGGAGTAAGAAAAGTGGTAGACATGAGGAGAAGGCGGGAGATGGTGGAGAGCAAACCCTGAGAAAGGAGGACCACTGAGAAACTTGAGAAGATCCAGAGAAGAGCAACTGCAGACTCTGGAGACAGGAACGTCCCGTCAAGCACCATGGAGGGCTCAACCACCTTTCTTAGGAGATGCATTGTCAAAGACTGCATAGACCTAGAGGCTAAAGTGTCACTGCCATCGGGGACTGAGGAATCCTGATGTCCTAGCCTCAGAAAGAGCTGTAGGCCTAAGGTCCTGGTGCCTGTGTCCTCATGAGGGCTATAACACAAGGCTGCTTCTGCTGCTTTGCCAGGGTATCGAGGACTGTGTGAGGATTGCTGAAGATGAGCCCTGGAAGAGTTCACACTCACCACAAAGACCCCAGCCATTCAATGGGAAACATTCTTGCTCTTTTCAAAGTTGAAAAGATTGCATTTTTAAATAGACTATTTAAAGAGTTCTATATAGGTATGTTTTATAGGCATGCTTATGGGGGGAGTGAATTTGTGTGTGTGTGCCCGTGTGTACGCTTGTGCATGGAGGCTAGAAGTCATTCCTCCGAAGCCTTCCTCCTTTGTTTTTGACACAGGGTCACTCACTGGTGGATCAGCAGTGAGACTGACTGGCCAGTCAGCTCCAGGGATAGATATCTTTACTCCAAGCACTCTGACTACAGGTCTGTACTGTCACAGTCACTGTGGGTGTAAGTGTTGGTGTACATGTTATCGGTGTGTGTGTGTGTGTGTGTGTGTGTGTGTGTGTGTGTGTGTGTGTGTGTGTATATGTAAGCCAGAAGAAGTCAGTGCTGTCTTCCTCAATTGTAGTCCACCTTATTTTTTTCTGGGACAGTGTCTACCCCGAATCTGGAGTTTGCCAACTCCAGTTGACTGGCTGCATACCTGATTTTTTATATGGGTGTTGGAGCTCAGACTTGTTCATCTTGTATGGCAAGCATTTTACTGATTGGTGTGCCGCTCTATCCTTATAGACAGTTTTAAGCTCTTGAGTCTGATCCAAATTTAACTTCAAATTTAAAAATAATTTTAGAATAATGAATGTTCTAAGACTGGATGTGGAAGTGTGTGGATTTAAACATAAAGATAGGGTGGTGATCCATGCTGTCCTAATACTCAGATACTAAGAGCAACATCTGTCTATACCTGTCTGTCTGTCTCACCTATCATCTATCTGTATCCATATGTCTGCATCTGTATATCTAGATCTATCATCAATATCATACATCCAATCTATTTATCATCTATCTATGACAAAATACTAGGTGGAAGAATAATTGCTGATAGAATTATGATTGTAAGAGTCTGTCAAGATTTATGTGGTAACCTAGCCCACAAAAGTCCATGGGAGTTAATCACTCATGACCCAGGCAACTACATAGATGTGGTTAAAAAACAGTCTTTTGAGGCTGGGTACATAGCTCACTGGCATAGCAAGCACAAAACTTTAAATCGAATCCTCACCTCTACCCCTGAAAAACACCACCATTGTCTTGTGAGATGTTAATGTACAGCAGGCGGTGGTGACTCACGCCTTGAGTTCCAGGACAGCCAGGGCTGCCACACAGGGAAACTCTGTTTTGAAGAAAATGAGAAGAAAAAAAAGATGTTAATGTGCATTATTCAAAATTATTCAAGTAAATCTAAAGCACAAAAGAAGAAATCGGAGTTATGCAAAGTCTCTCAGAAGGAAGAGCTCACATATCCCTGGGAGAATTAGAGAAGACTTCATAAAAGACACATTATTTAAGTTGGGTCTTGGCATTCCCTCAGCAATGGCTCAAGCAAGCACCCGTGCTTTTAATTCTGCAAGGCTGATTAAGAAGTATGTGGTACATTAGAAAAAGAATGGATGACCCTTGACAAGGTGGGGACAGTAAGGCCTTCTGTGCTGTTAGACCCTAAATGAGCAAGCTTGTGTGGGTGGCATGCAGCAATTCAGTGAGGACCTTTGTGTCTCTTTTTTCTTTCCCCTACTTTATATTAAAAACTGATGGAGGAGAAAGAAGATAGGTTAGAGGGAGCAAGGAAGGTGATTCTAACTGTTTGAACCGCATATTCTTAGCAGCTTGGAGGTGACAAAGCTGGATAAATATGGCAGCATTGCTCTTAGGTGTTAACATGGGTAGGAGGACCACGGTGAGGTAGTCCAGGTGAGATGTGAGGTGGATTAGACTAGCATACACCAAGAACAATGCTGTTCAGTGAAGTAGGAAAATAGTGTAAGAAAACTTTCAGTTAGAATCCAGTATACATGCTGTGAAAATTGGAAATCAAACCTGACTCAAATTTTGAACTAGAACTGGGAAGATGACATTGCCCCTGGAAAGTGACTGGCTTTAGAAGGGAAGGTGGGGTCTTAGTTCTTCGTGGTCTGCTGCAGTTTCCTTCCTTGCAGGGTTATGAACAGGGGTGTGGTGGTAAGTGATACAGTCCACAGGGCTCCACTGCATGATCTGAATCTTGCCTCTGCCATGGTGGTGGGTTCTACTCCGTGTCCTCAGCTCATCTATAAAAAGAAGTGTCCTTGTAGCTCATTGAGCTGTAGTGAGGACTAAATATGCATAAAGGACCAAGGTAAGAACAGTGGCTGGATACTGTTTCTGTGACCAAGATGCTGCTCATAGTTTAGAGGACAATAGTATTTTCATGGTGGTGGTGACATCTTTATACCTTGTTCCGTGAGCTGACTTATCCATTGGGCAGTAGAGTGGCTTGTGAATATATGCGTGCGTGTGTTCGTTCGTGCGTGCGTGTGATGTATATGTATGTTTGTCCTCTGAATTGTATAAGGAGCATGTTAGAATGCTATTGTCTGTTTTCTGTTTTAGTTTTATCATATAGTCAAGTTGATGTTTTTGGTGTGCATTTGTAAAAAGATACCTGACAGTTCCATCATTAAAACCTCCTTGTGACATCTTTAGTCACACCTCTACCCACCTCTAATTTTAGCAACTACTCAACTGATTATTCTGGCCACTGATTATGTTCTTTTGAAAATATATAAGTGGTCTTATAAAGTACAGTTTATTACCTTTTATTGTAGACTAATGTCCCATCATGTAGGTGTGTCACCATGAGTTTATCTACTTATCTCGATCATTTAGCTCGTTTCTAGGTATTAGCTGTTGTGAGTAGAGCAGCCATCAAATTTTTTTAGCAGATTCTTAAATTAAGTTTTCCTTTCTTAAGGGAAGATTACCAAGAGTCAGATTGCCTGGTAATACTGTATGTTTATAGAAAAGAATTATCAAAACCTATTTTAGAACTGAACTATCTTGTATTCTCAGTAGTAATATTTAAAAGGTTCAGGCACTTCTTATCTTTATCAGCACTTGTAATTTTTAGGATAATTTTTGTTAGCATGCAGATAAATGTTTCATTATGACACCTTCATTATATCATTGTCTTGTTTTTATTCACTTCACCTGGCCTCTCCTCTCCCCCCTCACTTTTCCCGCCCTCCTCACCCAATACTTCCTTCATGACACTTGCATTCTCCCTTCTGCCTCCCTTCAGACCTCATCATCTGCTGTCATGGAGCCCTTTCCACTGCACCCCCACCCCTACACACACACACACACACACACACACACACACACTCATGTACTTGTGCATACACACATTTAAATCTAGACTCCTCATACGAGAGAATACATACTATCTTTCTGAGCCTGTCTCATTTCACTTAACGATCTCTAATTCATCCATATTCTCGTGAGTATAATCATTTCACTCTTGTTTGCAGCCAAATAAAATTCTGTTGCGTACATGCACCACGTTTTCTTTAGCCTTTTATTTGCTGATGAGTGTGCAGGTGTGTCCATGTCTTGGCTATTGTCAAACGATGTGGCCATAACCCTGAATGTGCCAGGATCTCTAGGATGCTGATTTAGAACCCTTGAGTCACAAGTGTGATGTAGCCGCATCATACAGCAGTTGTAGAGTTTTTTCCTGGGTTCCAGAGTGGCCATACTCGTTTATATTTCCACACATTGCCCACATACGTCTTCACCAGCGCAGGTTTTCTTATTAACGGTCATTCTGACAGGTGAGGTGGACCTCAAAGCACTTTTACCTTGCCGTCTCCCTTTGGTCAAGAAGGAGTTTTGAACACTCTTCATGTGTTTGTTGACCATGTGTATCTCTTCCCAATGGTCACATGTCAGTTCAGTCCGTCAGCCACTTTACTGATTGTATTACTAAGGTTTGGTATTTAGTGTCTTTTTTAGATTCCCTTATCAGATTACAGTTGGCAGATTTTCTCCAATTCTTTAGGCTGCCTCTTCATTCTGTCATTTCCTTTGTGTTACAGAAGCTGTTTAATTTCGTGCAACCTCAGCTGTTGATTCCTGGGATTGCTTTCTGACTTTTCAGAATGCTCAGAATAATATCAACTATTATATATTTTTATTTTAGCAATTCTGATATGTGTGTGATGGTATTTTTCTCATGGTTTAAATGTATTCCTCTAATAGGAGTGATGCTCAACATCTTTTTGTGAGATATTTGCTATCTTCACTGGTTCTTTCTTTATTTGGGACACGTGTTTGTGAGGTGATTCCCAGATGTTTTTCATGCTTAAGTGTGTTTTCTTAACTGTTTTGCTTTCATAATGCAAGGTTCACTTTTTGTTGTTGTCATGCCCCAAACATGCATGTCCCCTGGGCGTTGAACATGTAGGCAGGTGCTTGACCACTGAGCAACACTCCCCACCTACTAAGAACTTTTTTTTTATCATCTCAGAACCGTAACTTGAGATTACCTAGTCATGAAGCTTTTCTCATAGGTTTTCTTCTGAAAGTTTTATGGTTTTAATTGTAATTACACTTATGTAGGCTGTCATTCTCCCCCTGAGCCCTCCTCTTACAGCTTGAAGCTATTGTCCATGGGGAGTTTGTGTGTTCTACTCCATGCTACTGACTCGTCAGTTATTTATGCCAGCATGGCATGGGCCAGAGTGATTTCTCTATGCTTGGGATTATGTAACCTGATGCTGTTGCTGAAGGTATGTAATACTGAGTTTTACATTGGAGGTGGCGATTCCTCAAACCTTGTTTCAAAAAGTTTTTATGTATCCTGGCTTCTTTGCCTTTCCACTTGAAAATTTAGACTCAGTGTGTCAGTGTCTTTATTATAAAAATTTCTCATGATTTGATTGACATTGATTTAAATCAGAATCAGTCATGGTTACTAAGTTGAGTCTTCTAGCCTAGAAACTCTGGTAGCTTCCCATTTCTTTAAGTTTTCTTTGATTTGCTTCAATGAAGTATTTCAGTGTGTATATTCTATACATTTCACTGGACTTATACCAGAGTTTCTCCCACTTTTTTTGTTTTGGAAGCAATTAACTTTTCAAATTTCCTGTTTCCATCATGCATTGCTAGTAGACAGAAATAAAGTTGATCTTTATGTGTTTATCTTGTATTTTGTGGCCTTGTAAACTCACTAGTGTTAGGTACTCCTGCTTGTTAGAAATGTTTTACATCACAATTGTCAGCTAATGGGACCTCCCTGGGGACAAAGGACATGCAGATCTGGAGCCTTATCTCAGAACCTTAGCCATTGAAGTGTGATGCATTCTGTCTCTTATCCCACCCACCTTATCAGCCTTAATGTCAGGGTATGTCTACCACAACCTCTCTGCAGTTAAACTGAGTAGAGAGAGGGGGGGAGGGAGAGAGGGAGGAGAGAGAGAGTGAAGAAGAGGGAAGAGAGAGAAGGATCCTACAAGGAACAAAGTCCTGGCACTTGCTTGTTGTTAAATGCAAATGTATATATTTCTGCCACCCTTTTTTATATACTGACCACAATGGTGGCCCACTGTTACCACACAACAGACTGTCTATACACAGTATAAGATGCCAGCAGGAAGAACATAGTAGCTCCTGTGTAAGCTCATTGCTTTCTCTTCAAGGCCAGGAGCTGTTTTTGATAACAGCTCTGGTTGACAATTAGGAAGACAGTTGAGTTTTCCCCAGTTGCCAGAATAGCTGTGCATTGTTAGTGGCTATAAAACTTCAAAGTAGCTTTAGATTAGACCAGATGCCTTGCTAATGGTTGTTAAGATAAATTATTCCCTGTAACGAGCATTCTTCCTGCCAGCCTGATCCCAGAGCCGTGTCAGTTCCAAATGAACACACAGGATGCTATATTAATCATGACACTGTTGGCCGTTTCTTGTGGGCTAGCTCTGACTTAATTATCAACCCATAACTGCTAATCTTTGAGTATTTCCATGTGGTCTTCTGTCGCACCTGCTGTGCGGCCTACATCCAAGAATGTAGCGAGGTGGTCGGGATAGATGACACAGAGACCGGTCGGTTGCTTTAAGAAAACTTTATGCTTCCCAAGTCAGCTTAGGAGGAGACCCCAGTCCGCTTAGGAGAGCTCTCAGGAGAAGTCTCTGGAGAAGTCTCTGGAGAAGTCTCTCCAAGAAAAAAGAGCTTCCCTTTTTAAGGACTTTTGCCATCCATTTACATACCATTCTTTCCACTTCTCACCCTCCTGGCTGGTGGTTTAATCTCCAGCCCCAGAATCGGGGAGACACCACAGGGGGCAGGGACAGGAAGAGGCATCTAGCCTTAGGGGGTGTGACAGTCATGGTATTTCAGTGAGCAAGCCCTTATCTGAGCCCTATGAAGCTTTAAAGCACTAAATTGTTTCCAGTAAACATTACACAGATGCCTGCTCCCAGGCCGAAGGGGAAGTGGGTTTCTGCTCAAGGTCTGGTGTCCCCACAGTCTTCTCTTGCTGGAGAAAGGGTCCGGACCTCTTACTCCTCTCATATCCTACATGGTGGCTGACTGTGCCTCCATTTCCCAGAATCCTCCACCTCTCCTAGTCCCATCTATCCTGCTTTCCTATTTGCCAACAGTGCTTTATTCATCAACCAATAAGACAAACATATACACAGAACATTCCTCATCAATTCCCAGAAAAGCAATCTTATAAGAACATACAGCTGCACTGTCTGATTTGTTGAGCTAAGGTTAAAAGGAATAGCTCTTCATGAATTCCTAACCTCAGTTTTCTGATATGGGCATGTGGTCTGAAGACTCAAAGTTCAGCCAACTGTTTTTTCTAACTGGTCAGGGCTACAGTAAATAATTGGTTTCATAGCCCCGAAAAAGAGTTACAAGTTCCCTTTTTATGGTCAAGGGTTACACACAGGGCAGAAAGTGCATTTTGAGATTTAAGGCACTTTGTCTGGGGAATGCTGATTGAGTTGATACTGAAAGATTTACAGTACCCTGAGCATAAACTGAAGAATTTGACACATCTCTCTCCGTAAACACAATGCTCTCTGAGTTGGAGAAAGTCAGGCATTGTTGATCACAGAATGAACGTTTAAAATGATTATACACTCAGAAGTATAGGTTATAGTACTATTTTCTTAAACTCTTCAGTACTTTGGGTTTGTAACTCCTTTAAATTTCTTTATAAGATTACCTCTCTAGATAGAAGTCTGTCCTTAGCTGTATTAAAAGTGGTTGGACTGCATTCTCACGTCTCAGCCTCGGAGAAGTGTTGCTTGTAGAATTTTTCTTCTTAACCGCATGGCTGAGAGTCCTAGGTTTTTACTGTCAAGCAGAGGCCTCACTCAAGTCCTAAGGGCTGCTTTACATGGCGACTCCATGGACTGCAGGAAAGATTTTCTCTTCAGTCTCTTATACAGTTCTGTGTAACCTAATGTAATGAAGATTGTGGCACTCCATTACCTTCCCCCACTTTGTGGCTTAGAAGTTAGTTACAGCTCTTACAGGCAAAGGGATCACAGACAATGTGACCTGTTAGGGATTCCATCATGTGTGTCAGCCATAGAAACTTTAAGGACAGATTAGTAGCTACAGTCCATAATTTTACATCACCCATTTTGTTTCCTGACAAAAACTGAGAGAAGAGATTAGCAGTAAAAGAACCTCATAGACCTGGTTAAGGCATTTATAATTTTTAAAAGCCATATACTATCCCAAGTTTCCATTCTAACACAAACATCCGCAGCTTTGTTTACAGTTATGTAAGTGCCCCTGAAGTCTACTGCAACTCTGCAACCCTCAAGATAGTCCTGCCCACAGATAGAGAAACCAAGGGTCAAGAAAACCTTCAAAACAGATCACAGCCAGTAAGATGGTTTAACTTAAACCCCTTCATTTCTATTAGGTAGGCAGAATTGTAGCATATATCTATTAGTGATATGAATATTTGTCAAGTATATTTATTAATGATGTAAATGTGATATTTATGTAAATAATAAATTGTATATGGAAATACAGATACAATGAGGTCTGCACACTGCAGTTCAGCTCTTCCCGTTTCTGGCTGTGTATCTTTGAATCTTGAACTATTCCTGTAAATGATGTACCCATTTCCCAGAAGAGATAGCTAAAGCTTAAGCAGTTTCTATGTGGTGGAATCTCTTTGACATAGACTCTAGGAAGAACCAAATTCATTAAAAATAACCTTTGAATTTTGCTTTGAGTCCTCAAAGAAAGTGTGTCTAAATTTAAACTTTTTAGTTCACAGCTTCTGTTTCTAAAGCCAGTGCATTTCATGTTTCAAACGTTATATCTTTTGCTTTGTATTGCATTTTAAAGGCATTCTTTCACTGACGTAGTTAGATGAAGTGAGTCATGTGACATAAAGTATAAAGCTGGAGATTTCCAGTGTAACCAGTGTGGTCGCATATATCATAATTGATAAATTATAATCGTGATAACACCTTTTAGTTTATGTTTGCATTTTGTTTTTTAACATTTCAGCAAACTACAATGACAACTGAAGGAATCTTGAAGGGTGTCGAAAGTGTAGAGGCTACATCTGTCTTCTGTCTTCTCACCCTTAAGGAATAAATGGGATGTTTAAGAAGAGAGCTACATAAAAAGAGAGTTGCAAATGGCTTCAGAATCTACCAATGGGAAACAAGCTAGGAGTCATGTGACAAAGGGGAGGCGGCAGCACCAGCAGCAGCTGGCAAGGAGCAGGTCCTCTGTCAGTGAGTGCGATGGCGATGACTCCTTCATCTTCGAAGCCAATGAAGCGTGGAAAGACTTCCACAGCTCTCTCCTTCGGTTCTATGAAAATGGGGAACTCTGCGACGTCACACTAAAGGTGGGACCACTTTTTTCTTTCCCCAACTTTGGTGTAGTGTGGAAAATGAGAGTTTCTGAACTTACATAAAAATTTTAGGTGTAACACTTATTTGTTAGGTTAGGAATGACTTTAATCTCAGTTCTTTGTGAATCATTGTCTTCTGTGTAGCTTGAGTAAGCCATGGATTCATGACCTTCCTGCCTCACATTTCCTTAGTATCCGATTACAGGGGTGTGTGGCCCAGTGCCTGGAAATAGATACATTGTTAGGCCAGATTCTCCTCACTCCCCATCCACCCAACTCCCTTCCTATCCTCTCTCTCTCTCTCTCTCTCTCTCTCTCTCTCTCTCTCTCTCTCTCTCTCTCTCTCTCCCTCTCCCCCCTCTCCCTCTCCCCCTCCATCTCTCTCTCCCTCCCTCCCTCCTGAAAATGAACATGCAAACAAAACTATAAACAACCCAGGAGGAGAGGCATAAGAAACACACACAAAACCCCTCAAAATCAGAAATCATAATATATAAGCAACAGACTAGTTAAAAAAAAATACATGAAGCCGGGCGTTGGTGGCGCACGCCTTTAATCCCAGCACTCGGGAGGCAGAGGCAGGCGGATCTCTGTGAGTTCGAGGCCAGCCTGGTCTACAGAGCGAGTGCCAGGACAGCCTCCAAAACTACACAGAGAAACCCTGTCTCGAAAAAACCAAAAAAAAAAAAAAAATACATGAAAAAACAAGTCAACAAAAATACCACTGAGATCGGTTTGTGTTGGTCATCTACTGCTGAGCATGGAACCTGCCCTTAGTGTGTGTGATTAGCATAACCAATGGACTCCATTGGAGAAAACTAATTTTTCCTTTGGAAGTGGTTGCCAGGTGGAGATAGCTTCTTTGGTAGAGGTGGAAGCCTGTATCCACTTCCCCATCTCAGCTTTGGGACTCCATCTGTCTTGAACCTGTATAGGTCCTGTGCATGCTGCCACAGTCACTGTGAGTTCATATGTGTGTCAGTCCTGTTGTGTCTTCCGTCCCCTCGGGCTCTTACAATCTTTCTGCCTCCTCTTCCACATAACTAGCTCCCTGAGCCCGGAGGGGAGGGGTATGATGAAGACATCCCATTTAGGACAAAGTGCTCCAAAGTCTCTCACTCTCTGCATATGTGTGGGTCTCTGTTAGTTCCCATCTGCAGGAGAGAAGTGTCTCTGATGGCTGAGTGAGACATTGATCTATAAGTGTAGTAGAATGTCATTAGGAGTCAGTTTATTGCTGTGTTCCTTTAGCAGAACAGTGGTATTTGGTTTTCCCCTAGACCATGGTCTACTCAGTTTCAGGTTCTTGGCCACCTGAGCAGTGCCAGCATGGGTACCATCTCACGGAGTTGGCCTTAATTACAATCAGAGACGGGTTGGTTACTACAACAGTGTTTGTGCCAATATGTCACTAGCGTATCTTACAGGCAGGTTGTATATCACAATGTTTGTAACTGAGCTGGTGTTTCCCTTTCTCTTTTGGTAGCATGCAGGGTACCATGAACATTAGTCAATAGGAGAGAAGCCTCTGGTTAGGCACCAGCTCAACTCCTCTATGTTCAATGAGATTAGGTAAGTGTTCTCTGTAGCAGTCAGGCCTTACCCACAATTTTCGAAGAACAAGAAAGTGCTTTGGCAATAGCCGGAGATGTTTGGGAGTTCCTGGAAGGCCCCTTGGGCCAACAGCTCAACTAGATGTAACTTATCCCTGACACAGGAGGTTACACTTGGCTGTGAGAAATGTCTGGTCAGAACATTGTCCCTATGGTTATTTGGTGACTCCATTTAAATTTCTTTGGTGTGTGTGTGTGTGTATGTGTGTGTGTGTGTGTGTATGTGTGTGTATGTGTGTGTATGTGTGTGTATTATGTATATGTATATGTATTTAGGAAACCTGTACAGTTTTCATAAGACTCCATAAATGGCCCTTAAGCTACATGCCCCTCTGCATATTTTTCCTCTTATTCCTCCTCATCCATCCCTCTCTCCACTTAATCAGTCCACCCCAGTTTTCCCACCTACCCCATTTCTCCATAACTGTCTATTTTAGTTCCCCTTGTTAGAAAGATCTCTTCTCTAGAGTCCCTCACCAGGTGTCTAACCCCTGTGATTGTATGGATTGTAGCATGCACATCACAGGGTTAACAACTACCATCAACAAAGAAGATGGATCTAGGTTACTTTAAGATGCTTTTTTTCCTAGCTCCTACCACTTACCTGCAAATTTCATGATTTTACTTTTTAACAGCTGAATAATATTCCATTGTGTAAATGTACCACCTTGTCATTATTCATTCATCAATTAATGGATGTCTAGGTTGCTTCCAATTTCTAACCATTGTGGATAGGCAACAATGAACATGGTTGAGCAAGTATCTTTGTAGTAGAATATAGAGTTCTTTGGGTATATACCCAAGAATTGTAGAGTTGGGGCAGAGGGCTGAAGTGAGCACTGGGTCCACATTTTAGACCCGATTCCCTCCCGCTCACCCACTTTCGGATCCCCTGGCCTGGGGACAGCAGCCAGGTCAACCCCCAACCCCCCACAGAGGACCAAGTGACCAGGAGCCTGAGAGCTGATACACTTCTGCCCACACTCAGGGCAGAGAGCAGAGGACAGACAGCAGAGGCCAGAGAATATTGGATTTGCTTACGCCTACTGAAAGGGAACCCTGGTCGCCTACACACCAGGAGAGGAAGAGACTCTTTCTACACCCACTGCAAGAAGTGATGGGGAAGAGGCAATATAAGAACACACTCAGCAAGAGAAAAACAAATATGACACCACCAGAGTCTAGAGATTCTACACCAGTAAGACCTGAACACCCCAATGTGGATGAAGCAGAAGGGAATGACCTTAAAAACACCTTCATGAAAATGATAGAGGCCCTCAAAGAGGATGTGAGAAAATCCCTTAAAGAAATGGAAGAAAAAACTAACAAAAAAATTTCAAGAAATAGAAGAAAAAACAAACCAAAAAAACCAACAAATGCAAGGAAGGGAAGAAAACACAAAGCAAAAATTACAAGAAACAATTCAAACAGTGCAAGTGTTGAAAGCTGACATGGAGACAATAAAAGCAACACAGTCTGAAGGAATGCTGGAAATAGAAACACTGGGGAAATGGTCAGGTACTACAGATGCAAGCATAACCAACAGAATACAAGAGATGGAAGAGAGAATCTCACATGTTGAAGATACACTAGGAGAAATAGATTCATCAATCAAAGAAAATCTTAAGTCCAACAAATCCCTAACACAAAATATCTAGGAAATATGGGACACCATGAAAAGACCAAACCTAAGAATAATAGGTATAAGAAGGTAAAGAAAGCCAACTCAAAGGGACAGAAAACATACTCCACAAAATCATAGAAAACTTTCCCAACCTAAAGAAAGACATGCCAATTAAGGTACAAGAAGCTTACAGAACACCAAATAGAGTGGATCACAAAAAAAGTCCCCTCGCCACATAATAATCAAGACCCCAAGCATATAGAATAAAGAAAGAATACTTAGAGCAGCTAAGGAAAAAGGTAAAATAACATATACAGGCAAACACATCAGAACCACACCTGACTTCTCCATGGAAACTCTGAAAGTCAGAAGGTCCTGGATAAATATTCTACCAACACTAAGAGACCAAGGATGCCAGCCCAAACTACTATACCCAGCAAAGCTTTCAATCACTATAGATGGTTAAAACAATATATTCCATGACAAAACCAGATTTAAACAATACATATCCACTAACCCAGCCCTACAGAAAGTTTTGGAAGGAAAACTCCAGTCCAAGGAGGTTAACTACAACCAGAAAAACATAGTAAATAGATAGTCCCACTTTACCAACACCAAAAAGAGAAAAGGGATGGAAATCCATATACAGTTCCACCAAGAACAACCATTCCAAATCAAACGAGAACGAACAATCAAAGGTCATTAATATCTCTCAATATTAATGGTCTTAACTCGCCCATAAAAAGGCACAGGCTGGCAGGATGGATTCAAAGACAGAACCCACCCTTCTGCCGCATTGCATACAAGAAATACACCTCAGCCTCAAAGACAGATATTACCTCAGAATTAAGGGTTGGGAAAAGATTTTCCAATCAAATGGTCCCAAGAAACAAGCAGGGGTAGCAATACTAATATCTAACAAACTATACTTTAAACTGAGATCAATCAAAAGAGATGAAGGAAGTCATTTCATATTCATCACAGGAAAAATCCACGAAGATGAAGTCTCAATTCTGAACATCTATGCCCCAAATACAAAGGCATCCACATTCGAAAGAGAAACATTACTAAAACTCAAACCACACATAAAACCTCACACACTTATAGTGGGAGACTTCAACACCCCACTGTCACCACTAGACAGGACTATAAGACAGAAACTTAACAAAGGAACTAATAGAAGTTATGACCCAACTGGGCTTGACAGATATCTATAGAACATTCCATCCAAACACAAAAGAATATACCTTCTCAGCGCCACATAGAACCTTCTCAAAACTTGACCACATACTTGGCAACATAGCAAACCTCCACAGGTACAAAAAAATTGGAATAACTCCAAGTATCTTATTAGACCACCATGCTTTAAGGTTAGAGTTCAACAACACCACAAACTTCAGGAACCCTACAAACTCATGGAAATTGAATAATGCGCTATTGCACCACTGCTGGATCAATGAAGAAATAAAATAGAATTCAATGAGAATGGCAACACAACATACCCAAACTTATGGGACACTTTGAAAGCAGTGCTAAGAGGAAAGTTCATAGCACTAAGTGCCCACATGAAGAAACTGGAGAATATTTAAACTAGAGAATTAACAACACAGCTGAAAGCTCTAGAACACACAGAAGCAAACTCACCCAGGAGGAGTAGATGCCAGGAAATAATCAAATTGAGGGCTGAAATCAATAAAGCAGAAACTAGGAAAACAATACAAAGAATCAATGTAATAAAGAGTTGGTTCTTTGAGAAA